ATTAACTAAGACCAAATTAAACAACAATTACTATGTTTTGATATAAATAACAAGGTACTATTATTACATGAATGCAAGAAGAGTTGATTTCTAAATATACTCTTTGGATTTATTTAGTATTCATTTAGGTATTTTAGGTGTTAAGAAACACTTAAGAGGACAGTAGCTATAACTTTTGTGATAGACTGACAGCCTGTCATGCTTGTACCTGTCATCAAGTAGCAACACATAACTGGCTGTAGTAGGAATAGAAAGCAGATCAATTGATTAAAGGATTGTGATAGTGATTGTTTACCATTCCTAATGTTTTCATTTACAAAAATACATTAGATTAATATGTTTTATAAGGATAATTATATTTATATGTTTTTTATTCCCCTGTGGCGCTGAGCCTGCTGTCATTTTCTTGCCGTATGCAGACACTCACATCTTGCTTAAACTGCTGAGAATGCAGAAAGATGTGAGCATAATTCATCCTATATCTTAGGAATGTGATATGTTTGACTATAACTAGAGATGTATAGGCTTTCATGATCCCCAGGCATCCACAGTGTTTTTAAAACCTAGTGTATATTATAACCTGTGGTTGTTGGTTTCCCTTAGCAATGCAGTTTTTAAAGCTACATGGCCATACTGCCCTTTTTTCCCTAATACTTTCTCCTATCTCTATGACCAGGATGGGAGTTTATAATCCAACTGGTGTCTTTTAATGTGTTACATAAGGGGTTCAGAGTGTCTTTAGTACCACAAAAATCAGCACAACCACCTGGGTGCACACTGAGATGGGGACATTAAAGGCGAGCTGCCAACTTAAATTTGGTTCTTTTAGCTCCAGAGACCGTGAGAGCATTACCGAAGCATTAAGCACAAAATCAAGTTTTAATATTAGTCCCTGCATGCAGCAACCATTCCAATATAACACGGTAGTGCTGTAACTGGGAGCAGCGTTCACATGCTGCACATCTGGCGTGTTTTTACAGACAGACTGACTTTCAGATCAGTCGCTGGTCACCAAAGCTGCTTTACATAACTGGCTTTTCAGCTGTTTGGCAACAAAGCCAGCATGTAGAGATACAGCACGGTGTTTGCTTTCATCTTGGTACAGGTGAGAGATTAGACCTGATATTTCAGAGTTTTTGTTTGGTTCATCATTTTAATCTATAGATTTACTGTTGCTGTGTTTATCCTCTTTGAATTATAGTCTTCAGTGTTTAAGAGATCATGGAACAGATACAGATAATCCAAATTCTTATCTGATCAGTCACAAAGGTAAAGCCGTTGTTGCTTCTTGTTTTTTTTTTTGTTTCCAAGCGTTAGACTAAACTGCCCATTGGAGGATGCGGATCAGTCATCTGTATTACATGTGTTGATTCACTGCCCGCATGTGTTCCTATTTGCTCCCCTATCCTATTCCAAGTTTACCCTTCCACCCAGCCCTGGCCCACCCTGCCCGATGATCTTAATGTGCAACACCCCGACAGCCATCTGTGCCCTCTCCATTCCTCCGTCTCAGCATAAACTCATTAAGCGAGAGATGGATGGAGATCTACTGGGCGGGAGGAGCAGTTTGCCACGAAAATCAGTGGTTATGTAACCTGTGAGCACGACCTGCCCAGCTGTGGGAACACGCAGCCATGTGCCGTCACAATACGGGTCTTACTTGTACTTGGGTTTGTAAAACATTCCCATGTCTTGCAGTTTATCTTTCCATGTAGTTTTGGACCTATTTAAGGGATGATTTTCTAGTGTTTTTTTTCAGGGAAACAGTTTAAATTGAGCTTTTAACAGTACCATGCTATGTTGGTTAGATAATTAATGTCATTGTTTAAATGTTCCCTGCCTAGTGCCATGTTGTTTGAGGCTAGCTTAGCTTTTTACGCCTAATCACAGCATGCGAGCAGCAGTGGACAGAGAGAAGCACTCCTGGTCTCGACGGTGTTCACTTTGATTGGTCACAGATTTACAATTAAGTCTCTTTTAATGCTCAGAAAGTAGTCGTTGGCTTTGAGGATCACTTGGAACCCCTGATAGGTTCCAGATCATGGAGACTACTCCTCTATTAGGCTCTTTTTTGCCTGATAAATCGGCCCATTTCCAGCTCATGGGAGAATTCAAAGCTTGTAAGACGTCAAGGGCAGCCAAATGAGAATTGACAGTTGATTTTAAAGGGAATTAGGTCTGCTGAATAGCCATGATAATGATGATGAATGCCCAGCACCGTGAAGAAAGTGGGAGCTGGACGGAGACCAAAGCCTGTCGTTTTTGTTGAAAAACCCCCTGAAGTGCTCTCTTTTCTTATTTCTTTTTTTTTTCCAAGGCTTTTTAAGGCCTTTAGTTTTCAGGGAAAATGGGGAAATTCATCATGTAGTTGGCTTAACACTTTCTTGACCAGCTCTCCCCTTATATTCAGCATTCTGCAGGAGGTTGTCACAGCACACGTTAAATCCCCCCAGCTGTCAGGGAAAAAAGAGAATAAACTGTTTCTAAAAACTGTACTTTATGATCTGGCTTTTATCCTCTTCCAGTCTGTCATCGCTGACCGCCGTATGACCTCAGCGCTGAATTGGGACGGGGGGCCTGGGGGCTTTAGATTTGGCCATTTATTGCTACAGTGATACAGTGCCATGCTCACATAGAAGTGATAGCGTATCAGATTTGACTGGCATCACAAAAACAAGAAAATAAATGGGTTAAAATCCCTTTATTTAGACACTGGTGCTCTCTGCATCTCCTAAAGGCATCCAAAGCAGCATGGGCCCATCCCAGGAAATCAATTTAGCTTGTATGAGCTGTCTTTGGCAGCCCAGGCAGATGGCATTTGGTTCACAACTCAGTGATGCTCTATATTAAAAAAAACAACCAAAAAAACACTACTTTTTAAATGCAGATAATTAAAGAACATAGATGTATTTATGATTTAAAAAAGAGACAGTGATTTTTCTCGATACTGTTAACAGTCTAGCCTGACTGGTTTGTACCTTTACTAGATCTTGAAGGTGCAAGACATCAGTTTCCATTTCTGGCACTTGCTAAATATATCTACTATAACTAACCCCCTATACAAAAACTCCAAAGTGATATTAAAGAATAATTATTTCCAAGTGGAGCATTTTTTGTGATGACCATGGTAAAAGTAAAGACAAAAGGAGCTCGCAGGAGGTCTATTTAAGGCCAGATGGACCACGCCAGGGACAGGGCCAAGTGAAGACTCTAATTACATTAGACTGATTAGTGGGTTTGTTTACATGGAGCCAAAGCAAGGCCAACAAATCATTTTAATGCAAGCTAGATGGAACAGATAACCGCTTTAGCGAGATGACGATCAGCTTGCTAAACTTTTGTGGTCGTCTTGATCAGATGACACGCTGTGCGAGTGGGACACACGGACACAAAGACTAATGAAAGACCTGTTGTTGTTTTGTTTTTTGTTTTTTTTATCTGCTGAGTCCACATCCACTAATTTCCCCCTGAGCTCAGGCCTTTAAATCAGCCTCTTGTCTCGGGTTTACAACGCGTCCAGATAAACTGTGTCGTGTTACAGCTGCTGTGTAGAATAACCCAGAAACTCCACCCGTTCTGTGTGAATGGTTTTGTAAAGGGGAGGGAAGGTTCGTCTGGAGATACTGATACGGCCCTCTGATAAAGAAATACGTTTCAAACATACAGGAATAAGCTAGAAAGTAGTTTATGTAACATGCTGATTGTTGTTAAGTAAAGATGTATCACAGCTGAGTTCTCACAGTAACAAACACACACACACTTGCCCACATGCAGACACAACATGGTCTGATAAATCCTACCCAGTGTGACCCAACTATAAAAGGGCCTCTTGTTTTATTTAATGTCCAACACCGTGTTTATTGGCTGTGGAGTGAATGAGAAGCACATCCAGCGAGGAAGACACTGCTAACGGCTGTTCTCTGTGTGTGTGTGTATTTGTGTGTGTGTGAGAGTAAATGTGAATTACACACTATTTAACCACAAAGATTTCAAACACTTTCTTAGCAGTGGATGACATGGCTGATTGGATGACCCATCCTTCCTCTCTTACCCCCCCTTGCCCCCCCCCCCTCCTTCCTGCACCTCTTTTGTCCTCCCCCTCCCCCCCCAAGCAAGACTCACCCGTTGCCTTGGGGACGGTCCCAATTGTGCTATTAACAAAGGCTGCAGAGGGTTTTTTTTTAGTTTTTTATTATAAATGCCAACCGGGAGGTGGTCCCCTCCGCCCTGCACTCTGACCTCCTCGCAAGCATTTTTCCTCCTCCTCCTCTTCTCTGTTGATGCATCACTCGTTGCTATGGTGCTGAGCTTGGAAATCTGGAGATTTGGAATAACCAAAGAGGAGAAGGGAGGGGACAGATACATGGGCGGGGGAGAAAATGTAGGAGGGAAAAGGCTGAACGGGGTAGGGGGATGATGTGAAGAGAGGTGACTGGGAGGTATTTATAAAAGAACAAATCATGCCAGAGCAGTTGGCCACGGTGGGCTCCTTTGTCAGCAATTCATCTGAGACGGCATCTCAGCAGCTGACTCAGAGCCTTCATTAAAAACTAATTACTGTACTGTTAAGAAGGCACATACAACCACCCCTGGATGCACTTAATTAGGCCAGGCTGAATCGGTAAGGAATATCCCCATAATCATGACAGGATTCAAAGTAGACCAGATAATCTGAGAACAGTGAGGTGAAACTGAGGTCAGACCTGTTTTGAACACACCCTGAAAATAAGAGGTTTTTACAACAACAACGTTGGATGCCTGTGACATTGTTTGAGTTTGATGGAAAGTAACATAACCCTTGGAATTTAAACTTCTCTGACTTTCAATGAGTTAAAATCTCTTTTAAAATCAATTTAGATTTTAAAACAGGAAGCAGAAAATGAAGATGTGATGTTAAACCATGATGTTAAACCAAATTGGCCCTTGTGCATCATTAGCTCCGAACTCATTTGGGTTCATGTGTGATATCTTTCCAGGGGCAGCATAAACTTTGTCATAATTGGTTCAGACTAGTTAGGACATGGACTCTGGGGTCCTGTTGGTGGCAGGATTTTTCTTATACAGATTTTTTTCTGGACTGGATTTGGTCATGTACAGCTTTTTGTCGTGTTCCATGAGCAGTATTTGTGCTGTGACGGGGTGCTTTGTTGTTGTCCTGCCGGGGGGAGCCGTCACCATTCACATAAATACCAGGAATCAAGGTTTCCCAGCAGCACTTTGTATCTGAATGGTACAGTGAGAGTTATTCTATTCACCTGTCCATTTCAGACGTGGCTTATCTGTGTAGGTCTGCTTTAGTCTGGGGCCTGACATGGACTTTCTCATTTAATCTATGTTGTTTTTTCCCCTATGCTTATATCAGAAGCTTTTTGTTGCATGTCGTGAAATGCTTTGAAATGCTGTACGATAGCCTATAGGACATTCTGCTCTATGAGACATATCTGTGGCCTGCGGTAGTCAAAACGCAGCACAACAGCAAAGACGGAAGCTCATTTTAACTGCATTAGGCCATGTTTGAGTGGTTCCCTCTCAATGTCCGGGCAATAGATGTCACAGGACAGTACATTGGCAAGTAAACGTCTCGGGGAGAATAATAAGTTCACTGTTAACAGCGCTCTAAGGGTGGAGCGAAATAGACTACTTTCTGCTCCTCTGTGTTTGTTTCTGCAAAGAACAAAGTACTCTAGTTTCCTTTTTCTTTGCTTATTTGACCCTTTTGTTGCCAGACCTTTCTGTCACAGAACATTCCAAAAGTAACCTTTGAAAAAGACACCATTATTGATGTTCTTTATATCAAGAACTTATTGAGAATACTTATGCTGTGTTTCTATTCACCAGTGAAGGCAAATGGAACATTTTATAGACCAGTTTGAAGCACATAAACTTGCGTTTTTCGTCCTGTGGCAGAACAGACTTTTTGTCTAAGTAGTTTTATTTCACTGGAAAAGGAAAATAAACCTAGTTGGGGGGATAAAACGCAGAACATCCATACAGAGAAAACGTCTTCATAAATGAGCTGAATATCAGCGCAGATCTTGCAAATTAGATTTGGTTATGAGAAGACACAGCGAGTCACATTAGTTTATTATGAATAAAAAAAGCTGGATCATTTGAATCTTTCTAACACGAGATAAAAACATTTTTACAGTTTCAAATCAACTTAGCTTCTCTAATTGTGGTTTAAATCGGATTGATTTCCTTTGTGTGTGATATTAGATAGCTTAGTTATTGAGTATGTTAACCTGAGATGGGTGTCTTTGTTTTTATTTTTTTTTTACACTACACGAACTAATGACTAACAACCCGATAATCTTGTGTAAAATAACCTTGCAGACTGCGGAAGTTGAATGTGGAACAGCGCTGCATCATTGAAGATGATCTGCACTAACAGAACTGTAAAGTTGGATCATAGCTGTTGTGTTTGTGCTGCATAAATGCTTCTGGGCCATGACGTGCTGGAGTGCCCGTGCCACACTCTGATGAAACCTGATGACTCTGTTTGCACAGAGATAACTCTGACACCAATTCCCCTGTTAAATGACCCGTTACGGCAGACATAACACATTAGGCTTTCTTTGTTGAGATATGGCTTATATTAAAGACGGTGTTGACATACATCCTGGGGACTGTTCTCATAAGGTGGGGGCAACTGTCGCAGCAGTCCAATCAAATCCGATTGCATTGGTTGTATTAAACAATTGAGTAAAAATCCTTAATTACCGCATCTCTCAATTGATTTTCTGAGCATTTGGAGGTAGAAATCATCCCAGGAAAGACTGTAGGAGACAGAATTTAAACAAAATCCCACAAAACAACCACTTTCATTCAAAATTAGCTCTCATTTTATTTCTCACGTTTAGTTTTGATCACAAAATCCATTCTTGTGACTTCTCTCCACGCACCTCGCATCTGTTCAACTCAGATAACAAAGATTCTCAGGCCCTGTAAGCTGTCCGGTCAGCGCAACAGCTGCCGAATCACCTGTTTGCGCCTCTTAAAGGAACGGTTGAACCATTCTGATGGAGTTTGACGGTGTCGTTACTGGCCAGGCATCGGATATCACCGTCACACACAAGGCCTGTAAAGAGGCAGAACTGGATATTTAACTTTAATAACACCCCCCCCCCCCCTCCCTCGCTTATGACAAACACCCAGAGAATTTTATCCCTTTTTTTCCACTCCCTCTCCTTACTTTCCCCTCCCCCCGTCTGTCCCCGTCTGTCATAAAGCCCTCCATCTTTAAAATTTGGGGGAGGGAGCTTTGTGTGTGTCTCTCGTAATTGCCATGTGTATGATTGGAGGCCTTTCTGTTTCAAATTTTTGCGTAGGCCAAGTCAAATGAACACACAACAACATCTACCAATGTTCAACTAAAATGTGGGTTTTATACACACACGCACACACACAGAAACTGTAACTGAGTTGATGTTAACATGCCCACAGATGCTTTCTGCTCTCATGCTGTGTCTTAGCACCGTTTATCTGTGTGGGACCATTATGATGGTGCTTTGGGGGTGTGTTGGCATGCAGATAATATACTTCTGTTGGTAGTTTCGCTTGTTAGTGTGTATGCATGTTGTCACAGACTGTCAGTCAGACACAGCATGGTCCTCCCTGGGATACAAAAGCTCCTGTCTACGACAGCAGAGGAAGCTCTGTGTTTGTATTAGTGTGCCGCCCTATGTGGAGGATGGAGGGAAGAAAGAGGAGGAAGGAGATGAAGGAGAAGGGGTGGAATAAGTGGTGGATGGGGGTTTATTAGGAAAGGGGCCAGTGTTGTTGTTTTTTTTATGGATCATCTCCAGAAAATGTCAGTTGCCATGCTCCACTGGTCCCTTTGTCTCCCCCTTTGGGGTCCACATTGTAGAGAATGTGCCCCAGTCTGGTTTGTGACTGTACTGAAACCAGTTTGAGGAAGCTGCATTGTTCACAGTGCCATAAAGATCCGTCCTCTCTGTGTCCCACGTGCAGCCGTTCCATCCCATGGTGAACCTGCAGTGCTCCCCGGAGCTCAGGATGTTCCTGTGCGCGCTCTACACCCCGGTGTGCACCGAGTACGGCCGGATGACCCTGCCCTGCCGCCGCCTCTGCCTGCAGGCCAGGAGCGACTGCTACAAACTGATGGACATGTTCGGCGTCAACTGGCCCGAGGAGATGGACTGCAACAGGTCGGTCTTAACAGCAGAGCAAAGAACAGGATCTCAAACGTCCCACGGCTGATCTGTTGATCCAAAATGGTGTTTTGAGGAGGAATTTGCCCTGTTGTAGATGTTCTGTTTTTAACTGTGCACACACAGCAGGGGAAATAGTTTTCCCATTTACAAAGAATGGATAGATCTGTCATTTTGATCGTAGGTACACTTCAAGAGACAAAACTGAAACAAAATTCCACAAAATCACATTGTATGATTATAAAATAATTTTTTATTTTATTGGATGAAATAAGTATTCGATAACCTAACAACCAGCAAGAATCCTGGCTCTCACAGACCAGTTGGCTGGTCTGTTAGCATCTCTCCTATCCTCCAAAATGGAAGAAACTTTAACATGCTTCATCTCACCTCACAGAATATCAGTTATCATGGGAAAATGATAATCACAAGGTGAGGGAAAATCCTGCAGCGTGCACAACCTTTGGGGTATGAATGACAATCGCTGTGTTTGGAGGAAGAAGAAGAATGGTGCAGCCCTTTCGTCTCTCGACAATTTGCAAGCATTTGAATAAAACGGCTCACAGCTGGTGCCGGCATGTGCTTATTTCATGCAAAACAAATTTAGTGATTTACATTATTTAGTAATCAAGAAATGCTATTTTGTGGATGTTTATTTTTAGTCTCTCACAGCAGGGAAAACTTTAAAAAAATCTGCGACATGTCAAATACTTACTGTCCCCACTGTTTGATCACTCACTTGGAAAGTAAAAATAGACTTTTAAAAGTCTCAGCGCGGCTCGGAGTGTGTTTAGTGTGTGTGTGCTGGTGCTGAGTGACCCTTTAACCTCCTCCGCCTGCAGGTTCCCAGACTGCGACGAGGCCTACCCCCGCCCCGTAGACCTCCTGTCCAGCTCGGACACCACCGAGTCGCCCATCTCCGTCCAGAGGGACTACGGCTTCTGGTGTCCCCGCGAGCTAAAGATCGACCCAGAGCTGGGCTACTCCTTCATGGGGGTCCGGGACTGTTCCCCCCCATGTCCGAACATGTACTTTACCCGCGAGGAGCTGGCCTTTGCCCGCTACTTCATCGGAGTGGTGTCCATCGTCTGCCTGTCCGCCACCCTCTTCACCTTCTTGACTTTCCTCATCGACGTGTCGCGGTTCCGTTACCCGGAGCGCCCGATCATATTTTACGCTGTGTGCTACATGATGGTGTCCCTGGTCTTCTTCCTCGGGTTTCTGTTGGAGGACAAAGTTTCCTGTAACGCGGCGAGCCCCGGAAGTTTCAGGGCTTCAACGGTCACTCAGGGCTCTCACAATAAGGTCCGTTCAGCACTGCAAGCATTGAATTAGATTTTTTCTAATTTATGCTGTATTTTTTTTTAACGTATATCCTGCTTTTTTACTCGTTTTTTGGTCTCTCCTAGGCCTGCACCATTCTCTTCATGGTACTGTACTTCTTCACCATGGCTGGCAGCGTGTGGTGGGTCATCCTGACCATCACCTGGTTCTTGGCGGCTGTCCCCAAGTGGGGCAGCGAGGCCATCGAGAAGAAGGCCCTCCTGTTCCACGCCTGTGCCTGGGGCGTGCCCGGCGTGCTCACCGTCTCTCTGCTCGCCCTGAACAAGATCGAGGGGGACGGCATCAGCGGCGTGTGCTTTGTGGGTCTGTACAATCTGACGGCGCTGCGCTGGTTCCTGCTGGCTCCACTGGGTCTGGACGTCGTGGTGAGAGAACACGTACTTCAGCAGCTGAAAATGATTGTTTTATTTTGAGAAAGTTTTATTTTTTACTTGTCATTTGAAATTCTTGAAGCAAATGGCAGCTGAGTTGACAGAAAGCCCCCCGATGTAACCCCCCCTCTCGTGCCATCTCAGGTGGGTGTTGTGCTCCTGCTGGCCGGGATAGCTGCCCTCAACCGCGTGCGCATGGAGATCCCGCTGGAGAAGGAGAACCAGGACAAACTGGTGAAATTCATGATTCGCATCGGCGTGTTCTCTGTGCTCTACCTGGTCCCCCTGCTGACCGTCCTGTCCTGCTACCTGTACGAGAGCAGCTACCGGCCCACCTGGGAGACCACCTGGGTGCAGGAGAAGTGCAGAGACTATCACATCCCCTGCCCCTATCAGGTGAGGCCAGATTGCCAACTCCATTCTGGGTTTTGTTTAACAAACAAAACAAAAGCACACGGGCAAACACTGTACAGACTGCTAACGCAGTAGCTGGGACGCTAATGCGCCGCGGCAGCCTGCACAGATGCTGTGTCCCATTCGCTCTACATCCGGGGCGTTCAAAAGGAGGTAGAAACGCAGACCAGGAGGTAACAGCTGGGCAGGAGCTGCCAGATGTGTTTGAATGCAGAAACATTAGAGAGCGTGCGCCCCGCTCATAACGGGCTGACGTGCGTGCTGCGTGGCGCATGCACCTGTGCCCCGCGAGAGCTGCCGCAGCCCCCGGCGTCAGCATTCGCTCTGCAGCTGATCCGGCCTACCCATTAATAATTTAAACGGCGCTCTATTGCTCCCTGCTCCTTTCAGCCTATCGAGTTCCATCTGAAAGCCACCCTTTGTTCCTCACGAAATTGGAACCGGCTCGGTTTTCTTTTCCTTTTTTTTTGGGAGGAGACGCCGAGGGCGCGTTCTCGATCTGCCCCCAGAAAGGAGCTCGGCGCTGTAATCCAGCGGGCGTGTGCGCATGTGTGCGTTTTCCCGCTGAACGAGGAGGGGGTCAGCGTGGTCGAGCCGTTCCACATCGCGGGTCCGGCTCATCCAAACGCACAGCGCTGGCAGGGCGGCTTTTCCTCCCCACTTCATGACAGCATTCACGCATGCATTCACACACACAGAGTCCACGTTGTGCATCGGCAGATAGGCGGCATTCTAAGTGCCTAACTATATTTATCTCTAAAGACCCCCCCGAGGCTCTCGCACTCGCTGAGCAGCTCACACCACGTACATCATACAAGCAGCGCCTTCAGTCCTCCAACAAACCAGGACGAAAGGTTTCACAAACCCGATGAACTCTCTGTGCCTCTAAAGCGTTTCTGTTTAGTTTCAGTCTGTGATGAGCACTTCTGTCCTGGTTCCCCGCTCAGCCGCTCGTCTCTGTGGTAACGAGTGGATCTATGGGTCACTCAGCCTCCAGCCCCTCTCATAACGAGGCCATCACGGCTACATCTGTGTGACCGCACAAACGTCTGTGTGTGCGTCAGACACAAACATGGGGAAAAGATGGTCGTTGTTTCCTAACTGGCAGCTGGAAATAAATGACCTCATTTTTTTCCCCGCTGCGGCCGACGTCCACTGCAAACCCCGGCTTTACACTTCGGTTCGATGTGGAAGCGACAAACGCGGGCGGACGAGGACCGAGGAGTGTGTTCGCTGTGGTGTTTGTGCGGCGGGGACGCTGTGTTGTCAGAGGAGAAATGGAGCGGACAGACCCCCACTCACTCAGGGAGCATGAATCAGTGCTCTCCCTCTCTGCGCAGCACAAACATCAACAACATGATTAGCTCACTCATGCTGTTGTTTATGTACACAACTCCGACTAAATTACATTGGTGTCATACAGCCTGTAGAACAACTGAAATAGGTCTGTTTCTGTAATCGTAAACGCACAAGAATGTGGAGGCTCCTGAGCTCAAATTACATTTTTAAGACTGAAATATAGCTGAGAATTAGAATTATTTAAGCAAGTAAAGGAAATTATTATTTCTTGATAGACGTTTAATATAATTGATCATTCATATGCTTAGGAGTCTATTGTAGAGTGTTTATACCGTAATTAGCAAGGAAAGAGGAAAAGCCAAAGGCGGCACAGGCCTCAAGATCTGAAAGGGCAGAGGCAGAAGGAAGGCAACTGCTGATCCTCAGGCAGAGATGGATGCTGTTAGTTTCTGTACCAGAGATTGAGAAAGTCCCCAGAATGGGCAGAAGAAGGCCTGAACGAAGAGGAGCTGCTAAGAGGCCTTTACTGAGGCCTGCAGACATCCAGGAACAGCCAAGTCAGAGTCCAAAAGACAAACCTGTTGGACCTGCTTGAAACCCTGGGGAATATAGAAAGTGTCAGGAAGTAGATGTGTGGAAATGGAAGCCCAAAGGAGTCCAAACAGAATATACATTTTTCAGGTTATCATGTATGAAAAAGGATGATCTAGTTATTTCAGTGAGTTATTCAATATTAAACGGATTTTTTAAAATACTTCATAGAAAAAAATGTTTTCTCAATAAGAGGTGATCTAACAGTTTGTTTTGAACCGTTTTAGAACCAGAAAACATAGTTTTGAAAACTCCACCTCCACCCCTCCTCTAACACACACACACACACACACACACACACACACTAACTGTCCTGTTATCCTGTGCTCGCCTTCTCCAGGTCGATCGCACCAGTCGCCCTGACCTGGCGCTCTTCCTCATCAAGTATCTGATGATGCTGATCGTGGGAATCCCCTCCGTGTTCTGGGTGGGCAGCAAGAAGACCTGCTTCGAGTGGGCCAGTTTCTTCCACGGCAAAAGGCGCAAAGAGTACGTAGCTCAAAACAAAGCCCGGGTTCTTTTGATCCGATTTGTCACAGAAAAATGGGACGGCTTGAGCAGCTAAACGAGGTGGTGGTTTCCCCCCCCACAAGCCCCCCAACACCTGACTTGAGCCAGGCGTTCTGGACGAATCACGGTCCTGTGACGTGTTCCTCCAGACATTTAAAAGTGTCTCCAGTCTTCATGGAAACACTCGGACACAGGCAGGACATGGGTTAATTAGGTGGCACCTGAACGCACCATCAGTCCACCCAGGGTGTGTAGTCTCACCCCTCTGTGTGTGACCACACCTCCTCACAGCAGGCGGAGCTGAGATCCTCCGCGTTTAACCGAAGCTCCTTTTTATTTGCGTTTGGGGCGTTTGTTCCAAAAGCTTAGACCCTGAATCAGAGTAAGGGATCAGACCGGTACATTTAGAGGTTTTATAGCGGTCTGTACTTTGTGTGTCTGCTGTCAGGAGGCAGGACCCCGATTTTGTCCCGTTTTTCCAGACAAAAAGTTAATTTCTGATGGAAGGAGGCTGCTGGAGGCCTGTGAAGGGTCCAGCTGGCCTTCTCCGTTAGGCGGAGGTGGAGATCAGGAGTGTGTTTGTCTGAGGTGTGGCGTTGTGTCCCGGAGCGGGAATCGTCTGTGGGGCTCCTTGGTGAACGCAGGCCTTCTCTGCACTCGCCCCCCTCCCCCCTCCAAACTCAGAGCATTAACCCCCTCTCCCACCGCCTGCTCCACCCACTCCTCCATCCTCTTCCTCCACACCCGCCTCCCCGCCACCTTCCCTCTCTCCCTCCCCACGCTCCTGCGTCTCTCCCTGCCTTCGCTCCCCTCCCCCCCCTCCTCTTCCTCCTCCTCCCCCCCCCCCCCCCCCCCTCGCTGCAGTGGGATGGTCAAAGAGAGCCGGCAGGTGCTGCAGGAGCCCGACTTTGCCCAGCTGCTGTTCCGGGACCCCAACACGCCCATCGTGAGGAAGTCCCGGGGCACCTCCACCCAGGGGACGTCCACCCACGCCTCCTCCACCCACCTGGCCATGCTGGACGAGCCCCCCAGCGCCAGCACCAGCCGTGCGGGCTCGGTGCGCAGCGCCCGCTCCAAGATGAGCAGCTACCACGGCAGCCTGCACCGCTCCCGGGACGGCAGGTGGGTGTGGCCCCCCCCACCGGAGCTCCCGCCCTCCTCCTCCACTTCCCTCTCCTCACTCTTTTCCTCCTCCATCCCTCAGCAGATACACGGCGTCCAGTTTCCGGGCGGCGGATGAGCGGCTGCCCTTCGGGAGTACGCCGCGCCTCAACGACCCGCCGGGGTTCTCCAGCAGCTCCACCCGGCTGGACGGCCCCTCCAGGCACGACTCCACCCTGCGGCTGGACAGCCACTCCAGGCACAGCAGCGCCCGGGACCTGAGCACCGCCCCCCCGGCGGCGCTCTGCGTCCCCGGCAACGGGATCCACAGGGTCCTGGAGGAGGACGGCGCCACGGCCTGAACGGACCCAGAATCAGGGGGTGGAGCAGAGCTGAAGAGTTGCTCCTTTTGTTTTTTTTTGGAAGCAGGAACATGTGTGTGTGTGTGGGGTTACTCGCGTCAGGATTCGGTGTCGTTCGTGGTATGTCGAGGGCTCCAAAGTCGGACTTTTGCCTTAAGATGTCCTCCGAGCGTCACCTGCCGGAGGAGCCGACTCCAAAATCTGATGTGAAAAATGGTTTCCCTGTCTGCAAAAGACGGATGAAGAAGATGAAGGCTGCGAGGATGTGCTGCTGGTGGACCTACTTTTCTACACCCGTCGGGTGTAACTGTGACCGACAAAGACACTCTTTACCTTTTTTTTTTTTTCTTAAAAAGTACTCTTACCTGGATTCGACAAGCAACCACAAAAACACTGGGAGCTCCTCCAGGTCATGCTTTTTACCAGTTGGATTTCTCATCTCTTCAGCGTTTAAATCCACTTTATTTTTCAAGTTTTCTCTCCCAAATTGAAAACTTTTCTACAAAAAGCTGAACAGGAAACTTTACACGAGCCTTGATTACAAAAAGTACTTAATGCACCTGTGCAGACATCGGTTTGGAAAGGGACGTGTCTGGAACCTGGTTTGCTGTTTTGGCCGAAGAGGCTGGGGGAAAAAAATAGCTAAATCCTAAAGGATGTGTTCAGAGAAAACATTACCAGTTTTTCCTTTAGACACTGAGCAAAGCACTAAAGCGCACGATTCCGACCCATTATTGGTAAACTGATGGAATTTCGCTCCGCATTCTGACGAAATCTGTTCAGTCTTTGTCAAATCCTGAGTAGTTTGCAAATGTGTCTTTACTTCTAGCTGCTGAAGCAGAACCTGTTCCTAGATGTAAAAACTCCAAACCTGTTCATTTGTAATAAAGCTGTTTTTAAAAAAATATCCAAGCGTTCTTCTGGAAACGTCAAAATGACCACACATTGACACAGTGGGTGTGTATTTGTAACAGCTCTCCGCTTTATTGAAATACATCGGAGTCAGGTTAATATAATGCGTTCTCCACATAAGTGTGGCAGCCAGTTCCATACATTTTTATTTTGTATTTTTTTGTTTTGACCTTACACCTTAAATATTTTTTGTGCAAAAAAGAATCTACATCACCTGTAGTGGGTTATCCTCAGTAAAACACCCAAACCGTCCAAAAAAAAGGAGCAAGTAAAACAACAAACCGAAAGACAAAATGATTACATCTATAACATGCAAAAACTGTACAAATTATTACAAAGCAATCCTAGAAAAGAAAAGTAGTATGATATGAAAGAGCAAAAATAATATAGAAGGTACTGTAGATAAGACCTCACTGAAATGTAAAGGCGTTTGAATTATTTTCCTTTTTTTTTTTTCTTCTTTTTAGATTTTTCTCCACTTAAAAATGTGGCACCTCAGCCATCATGCCTGTCACCCCACCCCTGAAACGTGTCGCATCTACACATCCAACACTCCCTCTCTCACACGCACGCACACATTTACACACACACACACCATTCTTCCATCCATCAGTTGGACACACTTGATCCCATCTATATAAGAATGAAAGAAAAAAAAAGGATTCACTGGTTCTGACATTTCCTGAGTTTCCATTCCTCTCCTTAAACGGGGACCGTTTCATCTGTACAACATTAAAACACATGCCTAAGAGCGTGTCCCATCCCCTCCCCCACCCCCGACCTTCAGGTCGATACACGACGACTCCTGCAGCGACCAGAGAGAGCTGCTAGTTTGATTTAAAATTTTCCACAGTTGCGGTTATTTGGAATAGAACCTGCTTAGCGTTACACATTTCTCAATAAAATAAGGGGGAAAACAATAGTAGATATACATTTCTGAAGTGGGCCTTGTGTGTTTGAACAAAGGGAATGGGCAGGAACGATAACAGATTTCTGTGGTGAGCAAATCATGCTGCATCCTGAGCTGATGGAAACAGGCTTTAAGGAGGACTCTTCATTGCATTAACAGACTACATCTTCCATACATCCACAAAGTTATTCTGCTCACCAGCTACAGACCTCTGTCAGGTGAGATGATGACACAAAACAAAGTTGTTCTGTCCTTTTATTTTCCTTTTCTTTTTTAAGCTGTGAATGCACTTTTTACAAAGAGGGGCTCCTTTAAAAGAGAAGAATTAGAAAAGAAACAAAATGCCCAGAGACTGTATCCAGACTTCCGGCCTTGTTAATTTTACACATAACAGGTAGAAATCAGGTCATTTGATAAATTAGAACAATCAGAAACCATAGTTCTGGCTTACTTACAGCTCTGAAGTGTCTACATTCTCTTAGTAGTGTTTTTTTTTTTTTAGAGCTTTTACACCATCAAAACAATCTGAAGAATAACCAAAGGCTGCCACAAAGATTTATCTCCCTCTCTCATCTGTATTTGGTGAAGTCGAGCTCAGATTTCTGGTGCTAAAGCCCAGTTAGAAACACGCACGCACGCATGCACACACACACACACACACCAACATCCCATTAAATGATCAGAACCGCTTCAACAGTCAGAGGAGCAGGACAAGGCATCTGCTATGTAAAACCACCACCTTAGAGTGTGTGTCTGTATGTCTGTGTGTGTGTGTGCGTGTTGATACACGTGTGAGTGCAGGCTTGTGATTAACGCACGCGTTCACTGTACAGTATGAGCAGTAGTGTCGGTCCAGGTGGGAGCTTCTTCGCTCGGAAACTTAACAGGTTCGTGGGGGAAAAACTAAAGAAACAAACAACGCACACATGAGTGTCATACATGGAATAAAAAACAAACTGGTATAAAAAAAAAAAAAGAAAACTGGAAAGTGGTTTAAAATGGCTTTTGTGTGTGACCACAACCCTCACCTCCCCTCTGATAAACAAAAAAAAATAAAACAATCACTCAAAACCCCCAAAAAATAAAATAGGAAAACATAAGCAGGATTTTTTTTTGTCTTCCAAGCGTAGTTCTCTATAGTATTTTCCTTATCATATATTACTCTCTACTTTGAACCTATGTACATCGTCGTGATGGGAGTCTGAGTCTGTCAGTTTGGTTGTAGAGCTCTGAACCGGTGAGGAGGAGCAGCGATGATAGAAGAGATGCTGCTTGTAGCTTTTCGCTGATGGCCAAAATTAATCAATTAAAAAAAAAAAGTAGATAAAGTCACTGCACTTATCAGGAGCAAAGTAAAAACAAAAAGTAAAAAATCATTTTGTATCTTTCTCACCACCATCTCCCCCCTTTTCTTAGTTTTAAATTTATTTTCCGGCATCCCGGGGGGAAAGCAATTTGGAAAACCTGGGAGGGGGGGGGGGGTTAAACTCTTGCTTCGGCATCGGGCCTCGTAGAAGCAAAAATCTCCCTTTCCATGTCTAAGATTGATAAATAAATTAAAAGTGTCCCCTGAAACCCAAACAGTCCTATGTACAAGTACAAATGCTTTTTCTCTCGGGAATCCTCTTCGTTTTCGGGTGGCATGGTGAGGTTTGGAGTCTTTGTGGGTGGGGGGGGGCGCTTAATGCTTCAGGTGACAGGAGCTTGTTATTCCTACAGCACACACACCCCCTCTGGATAAGACACATGCACACAAGCTGGCAAGTGCATTCAGCATCACACACATACACACACGCACACACACATTTGCACCCCTTAAGCATCAACACCCACCGGTTCGTAATCTCTCCTTCAGAGTTTCCCCTCACAGACACCAACTGGGGCTAAATGTTCATATCGGGAGGGGGGGCGACGGGTGGGCGGTGCAGTTTTCTGGGGAGTGGGGGGGGGGGGGGGGGGGGGGGGGGGGGGGAGGAGAAAGAGAGTTAGGAGTCCTGTGCTGTCAGTCAGTGAGGCTGGATGGGTGAGACCGCTGGGGGGGAGAGGTGGGAGGTGGGGAGGTGGTGGGGGGGGGGTCATGTGTCCCAGCCCGCCCCGGGTGGGGGGAGAGGAAGAAAAAAAAGAAAAAAGACAGTCAGTTGGTTCAGATTCGTGTCAAAGTGGCTGGAGAGTGACAGCGGATGGCGGCTTTACACAAACGCCAGCCTCTTTCGGTGACCCCCCCCCACCCCCGCCCCCACCCCCACCCACTGCTGGATGCTCACTGCACATGCACCGCCTCTGCTCGTTAATCTGCCCGCCTCGTCTTCCAGCGCTTTCCGCATCATCAGCAGATCAACAGCTCAATTGGCCAGAAATTATCAGCTTGAGGAAAACAAACATGCAGGCCTGGCAGATGGAGGGGTGACGGGGGTTGTGGGGGGGTGGGGTGGGGGGGTTCAACCTCCCACTGAACTCGCCACACACGGTCTGACTCCCATGAAGAAATTACAGAAAAGAAAATGACCGAATCTGTGGATGCAGACTGCGTGTGGTGCCGAGTGCAGGGGGGGATTCCCCCTTCCGGTTCGGTGAAAAGCCTTTTTTTGGAAAAGACTCGGTTTTCTGGGGTCAGAGATCCTTCTGCGGGGATCTGGTGTAAACCTACACGAACACTAACAACGTAGAGTGCAGCAGAGACGTGTCCCTGTGACTTTTCTAGAAAACAACGACAGCAGGAGTCGAATCGGCTGAGAAAAGAGGTGAAAAAAAGAAAAAAACAAAACAAAAAATCAGTACTTTGAGTTCTCGGTGCTCCCCTGAAAGTGGCTTTTCCTCTTACTGTGGCATTTTGTGGTCGGGCCATCGGTGGGGAGGGGGGGGCAGCATGGAGGCAGACATGCTCTGCGATTGGCTGAGCTTTGGGATGGCTGACGGACTGATGGGGGGGGGGTTCCAGTGAAAGAAGCAACAAGCCATCAGAAGCTGCCGACGCGATGGGGCTGACATGGTGCGGGTGGGGGTGGGGTGGAAGGGGTGGCGGCTGATGTCCGGTGACCACAGGCGTGTTCTGGATGCGAATGAAGCGGGGTGACGCTCTTTGGGGGGGGGGGGGGGCGCGGCGGCCTGGCTGGTGTCGGGTGCTGGAACACATTACCTTCATCTTACTAAGCAGGGTCCTTAAAGCCCTTTTCAGATCGGGGGTCTTCTCCGACGGTGAGACTGCCTGCCACTGCAGAGGAGAGTTCACACTCAGCGCCCAGCCCACAGACAACATGCTGGGGTGGGAGGAGGAGGAGGAGGAGGAGGAAGAGAGGGGGGGGGGGGCGGGGGGGGTAAAGGGGGGGGGAAATGGGGCCAAAATGGCGTCCGGTGGCGGGTTTTATGGGCTATGGGGATGGCAGGCAGCTTGAGGGGAGGTGGGAGGGGCGACTGGTTTGTACTACTGGATCTCAGTCATCGTGTCATCTAGCAGATGTTGCTTGAACACTAGTGAAGGAAAACAAGAGTCCCAACTATTTGTATCTAAATAGGGAACAGAAAGGGTCTCTTCTGGTCCTGAAAGCCTCTGCTGGGATGGCGGGCCGATCAGTGGATCTAAATCACTGGGAATGGTGGGATGAGGTGGGGAGCCCGCCTACGTTGGGATATTTGTGACGGATGGGAGGAGGAAGGAGGTTCTTTTTCTTTCTCAAAGCAGAACATTGTGATATATTTTCAGACGGTGTCTAATTTGACTAACTTCTAGCGTCAGGGGACCAATCATAACCGCTTGACCATAATTCTATTCAGATCTAAAAACTGACTTTCTAGCAGTCTGCCTCACCAGACCTTTTTTCTTTGTTTTGTTTTTCTTTACGTGAGGCTCTTCCTCTTTAAAGGAACCCAAATTATATGACTTACAGGCCTTATTGGGTTTTACTGATATCTCTTGTTAGAATAAAGAGTTTAAAATTCCTTAACAAAATCTTACAAAAAACAAGAACAAAACTTTTACAGCCACTCAGTAAAGGCTGATTTAATTCTAAACGATGCCGCTTTTTGGTTTCCAACTAAAAGGGAGAGATAAAAACAGGGAAAAGGAGCATTTACAATTACGACCACAAACAACACCTGATTACTGAGCTCCGTTTAGTCACATGCTAGTACCCGCTATAGATTGCCCTATTTTGTGCCATTTATGGTGAAATCTGACCATTGCTGGACATCACTGGTCACGAAATGGTGGTCACATTTTGAATAAAATAAAAACCTCTGGATTGTGTGACCAATCCCTGATTTTGTTACCTTTTCCCCCCCATTAGCTCTCTGTTTAGTCTCACCCCTGCCTTCATCAAGCCCCACAAGTCATAGACCTGAGAGTTCCATTTAAAGAGACGGTGAAATGACTTTAAGGTGGGCCGCACACACACACACACACACACACACACACACACACACCCGAGTCTAGGTACTGACCTCTCTGTCAAACTGGGACAGGGGAGCATCCACGCAGTCCATCCCTCCTCCTGAGGACAGGGAACTCTCGGAGGGGGAGGTCATGGCCTGCCGCTTGGAGCCGTAGCTGCCTCCGGAAAGCTCCCGGCGCAGAGCGCTGCCGTTCTGGGAGGACGAGCCTGGACACAGCAAACGGTCAGCCGCCGAGAAGCCCCCCCTGACCCCACGGCGGGCGGGCGGTCTGTGCCGTTACTCACGTATGCCCAGCCCGCTGCTGGCGCTCATGGAGCGGCCCGGCTCGCCGCGGTTCTTGGTGATGGAGGGGATGCTGACCGATCCGCTGAATCCCGCACGGCTCTCCTGGACACGGACGTTCTGGTTTAAACAGGCAGAACACGCGGGCGAGAGTGGAGCGTGGGGGGGGGGGGAGAGGAGTGAGGAGGGGGGGAGACGCAGCCACACAAACAGATCTGGTGGAGCGCGATCGCTACGTGTCGGAGGGTGAGATTACATGAGGGGGAGCAGGTGGGTTCTGTGAGTCGGTACAGATAGCTGGGGGGGGGGGGGCTCTCCAAACGTGTTCACGGTGTCCAAACAAACATGACTGTTAGTGTTTGTGTGTGTGAGTACCATAGGCAGGTCTTTTAGGATCTGGATCCCGTCCCCTGGTCCCATGTGGGCGACATGGTTGAAGTTGGTGGGGTTAGAGATCAGCTTGTTCCTCATCTCTGGGTCTCTCAGCATCTCTCTGCAAGCACAAACACGCATGCTAAGCGGCGGTGGGCTAGAGAGCGGGCGGCTTTTTTTCTTTTTTGGGCTGAGCGTTAAAGCACCTCCTCTGCTGAAGCCGCTCCTCCTCGGGCACCCTGAAGGAAAAGCGCCTCTTGTTGTTCATGCTGCGGACCATCTGCTTCCTGCTGTTGTCCGACGTCTCCGGCACCACCAGCTCGTCGCCCTCTGAAAGAGAGCAGGGCAAAGTCAGAGGATTTCTCAGAGAGACTCTGAAGCTGCGGCTCAGAGAAGAACAAACGCAAAATGGACATTTCTCAGAGCGTCACTTTGGAGTGTTAATATCCGAATGACGACGTTAGGACCGCAAAATTCTCTGAGCTGAACAGACATTCCTTACCAGCCATCTTGTTTCTAAAGTAGATGAGGCGGACAGTTTCCAGCCCCAGCAGGTTCAGAGAGCCATCGACATTCAGAGGGCGCACCTTCAGAAAGAGTCAGAAAAAAAATTATAATCATAATTGTCAGTTAATACTCAAAACATTTGGCACAGATCAGTTAACACACAGATTACTCATGTAAATTTGAGTTGATATGTATGGGGGCGTGACAGTCGAGACAGAGGAGTTTAATCGTTTCCTCCACCAGATGGAGCCCTCCAGTTGCTGTTGTGGCCAAATCCCAGCAGACACTGACCTTTTTCAGAGGAATGGTCTGAATCCACTCCATGGTGTTGACATCAAACACATCCACAGCGTTCTCACTGTACACTGACAGGTAGGGGGCGTTGTAGCCTAAACAAAAGGATTTTTCAGTCATCCAGATGAAAGAAAATAAAAAAACAGACTGCAGTTTCTCAGCCTATTTTGGTTTTTAAATCGGGTAAACGAGTACGCTCCCCCCACTCACAGGCGGCGATGGGCACAGCTGGCCACATCAGCTCCTGCTGACGTGAGCGGCGGCCGTGAGAGTCCACGTACACCCCGATGGCGCTGAAGCAGAGCAGCAGCTCTTTGCTGGATATCTCCACGGCGCAGAAGGCGTCCAGGTTCTGCTGCGGGATGAAGGCCAGGGTGTGGTCGTCTTTGTGGAGGAGGCTGACCGGGGGCTGGTCGCCGTGGACGCTGCGGGGGAGATCGCCGGGCGTAAAAAATTAGGGTTCGCGGTCGCGGGGGAAAACTGCGAGCCGAACGAAAACTCTGTACCTGTAGCGCATGAAGCCGGACTGATAGCCCACGTAAAGACGCTCGCTGAGCACCCCCATCCACTGCACCGTCCCCGGGGACTGCAGCTCCCGCAGCCGGCGGTGGTGCGTCTTACTCTTTGACACCTGAAAAAATGTATTTTTAAGTTTAGGGTCATTAGGCTTGGACTTGAAATCCCAAACAATGACAACAAGAATAATAATGACGTCCAGCTCTCTCCCACCTCGTAGCAGATGATTTTAGACTTCATGGCCACGCAGAGGCAGGTGAGGGAGCCATTTCGGACCAGGCCCGAGGCGATGGTCTGACAGCCTTTCGTCTCCTGCAGCTTTTGGGACTCTATCTCGCGGCCGTCCAGTGCCTGCGTAGGGATGAGGCGCACGTGGCGGTTTCGGCCAGATATGACGGCCAACAGCTGCTCCTGAGGGATCAGGTCGATGTGGTAGACCTTTTTACTGTCCCCCACCCGGATTATTTCTGATGAAGGAAGTCATGTTAAAATCACAGCAGATCAAACCAAAAAAAAATCTGGATACAAAAAACTAAACAGATCTTACCATCTTTGGTGACATGTATGACAAAAACGCCTTCTTCGTTGCCTAAGGCCACACGCTCGTGATCTGTGGGTAATTAAAGCAAGATGTTTAGTTCCTATAAAGACAAATAAATAAATAGATAAATACAAAGAATCCTGAAGCTTCTTCTAAGAGGCAACAGATATGTGTAGTTTTTTATAAAAAAGATGACGTCGGGATAAAAAAGCGCAAATCTGTCATAAGACTAGCAGTTTAAACCTCCTGGTCATCTGAAAATGAGCCCCCACCTATGATAGCAGCAGACTGGGTAGTCTTGATGAGGGGCAGGGTGCTGTCGTAGGCCTCCTTGGGGACGTAGACGAAGCGATCCTTTAGCTTGTTCTTCTTAAGGATGCGGTAGAGCTCGTTGAGGAGGCCCACCCACTTGTTCCTCTCCTGGTCGCTGTCGGCCAGGATCAGGATGGAGGTTTTGTTGCTGCTGGAGGGGGACAACTGGGAGGCTGTGACCTGCGGGCAGAAGCGTTGGGAGTTTAACAGCAGTTTTATTTCTATTTCCAGACTGCAGAACCCTTAAAGAAAACTCACTCTGAATATACAGGGAATGTCTTTGCGGCTGGCGTGGATAACATCTGAGGCCAGGACAGAGCTGACCGAAAACTCCTCATCCCTGTTTGACGCGGAGTGACACGCCGGATATTATTAAAACGGCCTCCATTCGATAGAACCAACATTTTTACGCGCTTTTAACCGATAACCTGCTCTCACCTCATGTCTATGACTTGGCTGACGACTACGCTGGGTAGCGTTGTTTTCCCTTCTCCCAGCTCATACAGGAACAGTTTGAAGTCGCACACCACAGCCATTGCCCTCTGCCAGCCCTTCTTCACGCCGGTTGGTTTCGGCACCTGGAGCAGACACAAACACACCTCAATGAGCACGAAGAACCAAGTCATCGGCTCCGCTGAAGAGGACTTTGCTGGGGCTTTTTCCAGCCACACTGACCCGGACGTGGCCTTCATACGCAGTGCCAATCCCCCTCTGGGGGTCGATTCCCAGAGGGCCCTTGGTCTGGTCCTGGGGAACTGGACACACAGCCGGAGCCTTGTCCGCACAGGTCACGTGACAGGAGAAGTTACATACTGAGCAGAGTAAAAAGAAGAAAAAAAAAAGAGGGTGTCAGAGGTATTTCAGACCTCTTGGGAGTTTTAAACCTCCTGGTCCTGTGAAAATCAGCATCCACCTTAAAAAATGTTTAAAATCAAAGAAGTGTTCTCACCTTCGCACGTACATCCCTGCCGAATGAGCCCCACCATCAGGGAGGTGCACTGGTTACACTTTGTGGGTGTGTTGAAGGACTTCACGACAAACTGATGGGCTTTGGGCTGCAGTGTAGAAGAGTAGGTGGTTAGCATGTAATAAGAGCATCCATCTGCCAGTGAAGAGTGACTCTTGATAAATGTCTGACCTTCGGCGAGGAGCGTCCAATGCTGCCATACCCTCCTGAGCGCATGGTGGGGGTCTGAACTGTTCGGGGTGGGTGGTCTATCAGCTGCGGGGAAGAGGGTATGAAAAGTGAGCAATTTCATCTGAACGATCTGATTACGGCAGGGCAAAGCCTTCAAAACGACAAGCTTTACTCCATTAAAGCACATTAAGAACACCCTACAAATCCCAAACACAGCTTTGGTGATCAAGCTGAACACACCGGGCTCAGTTTTGACTGGAGTCTGCTGCTGGCATCTCTTTTGCCTATTGTGCTGCCTGTTCCTTGTATTTCTCTCTAACTGAATCAGCTCCAATTCACAGAGGCAGGCTGACTCAACAGGACCTCACTGTGAGTTTCACATAAATCCGAGCTGACAGTCGTCTATTTAAATATTTGAGTTTGTTCTTGTTCCACAACATGCCAAAGATTCCAGCAAAGTTTCGAAAGACTGTTTCCAGCCTACCAATGTTTGTCTTCTTATGCTTACTTATAAACAAAAATTGACCTCCTGCTCTATGGCTGAACCATCGAGTTTGGATGTGACAACATTAAGAGCTTCCTGGCTATTACTGACCTCTATGGGCTCCATGTCGCTGGCCATGGAGGGAGAACGTGAACGGGACTTGAGGTGGGCCTTGGGGTCATCTTCCCTGGAAGGAGTGTTGGAGGGGGTGAAGTTATCCATGGAGTCCACCTGGGGAGGAAAAGGCAGGGAGTAGAATGACGGGCATAGTAAGGGAACAAACAGGGAAAGAAGAGGGCGGAGGATAAAGTTAACCCCACAATTCCAACCACGGAACAAGACGCGGCATACATGCTAACAGAAAGTACCATAATCAAGATATAATCATACCCACTTCATGTTAAAACCACAGAAGAGACTGACTAAAACCTTACTGTACCCCCATGTTTTCGAACACATAGCCCAGTGAAAGCATAAACCTCAAACCATGCACAGCGGGCCCTCACAAAGCTACACCTGGATGAGAGACACACAGCACAAATGCACAGCACACAAAAATAGACATTAGAAATCTTCTTGTTTCGCTGTTTTTTCAGAGCCCCTGCCATGCAGACAGACAGCCCGATGAGAACACAAACAAAGCGAAGACGAATGAATCACTGGTGAGAAAGAACATTCAAAGAAGGGTGAGGGAGCAGTGTTTGTGCTTACACGTCTGCCTTTGCTAGCTGGGCCAACGGATGGCGAGCGCTTCAGTGGCAAGAAGAAAGACAAGAGTGTCAGAGACACGGCAGAGTGAATATTAGAAAGGTTTGGCTAACAGAGCTGAAAACACGTATTCAAACAGACCATGGGAGGAAGACTACATGTATTACATCAGGCTGCGATTCCCAATCCTTTTCTTTTCTATATAAAAGAATAAACCTGCTTCTTATCTTTCAGCTAATCCTCTTAGTGTATCCTTTATTTGTAGCTCAAAGCTGCTACTTTGGGACTTCTGAGCACCTTCAGTAAATTGGCTGAGCTGTTAATCACAACTTTTATCATTTTGTTGGGATTTCCTGTAGATGGGTAGCACAGAGGTACCACTGGTTGGGAAGCACTGCATTACGGCCCCCAGGGGGCAGAAACTGGAGAGGATAGATGGGGTGCTGAAAAGAAGAAATACGCATGGACACTTGGAGGAAAAGTTAGATACAAAATGCCTGAAGACTAAATAAAAGCTGATTACAAAGAGAAGTAAGGTTCCACTGCTAATCTAGAGTAGGAAAACCGAGGCTAGCTAACAAGAGGCTGAATAAAAAGTAAAAAAGCTAATCTATCTCTCCTCCAATGTAAGAAATGTGGAATGTATTTCTATCTGACCTATGCTGACTTATGCTTCTTCAGCTGATCCGTTTCTTCTCATGTAAATGCTAAGGCACAGCTACACACACTCACACACACGACTCTGCTACTGTTTACACTCACAATCCTACGGGGTTCAGCTACGGATATAAACACAGGGGGGACCTCGTTCTGACCGAGGGAAACTTACATCTTCCCAAAACTCAATTAAAGAAGAAGAGGATGAAGAATAAGAGTCCTGATGTACCAGAAAGATGTGGAGAAAACAACAAAACACAAAAGTAAAGACAGGAAAATGCATGTAAAAAAGGAAAACAAAAAAAACAAACAACCAAAGCACAAATTTGACTTTTTTTCCATGACACACATTTGCCCACATTGGCGTTATTTAAACGGACCATGAGAGGATTGTTTTTAGGGATTAAAAAAAAAAAAAACATGAAAAAAAAAAACACTTACATCGAACTGGTCGAGGGCTGAGGTGGGGGCGTTTAGAAAAGCCAGGAAGGAATTCTGGGAATCCTGGTGCTTGACACCTATGGACACAGAACAAATAACACAACCATGGTTAAGTATTAAAACATCAAAGGGTGATTTAAACTAAATGAGTCACAGGACGTTTTCCAGGAAGCGGGGGGTGGTTTCATATGACCCAAGTAACAATGCATGTTCGTGTACACGGCTTGAGGGGTTAATTTCTCCAATATGGGTACCGAATCCAAGCCTTTTCTAATTTTCTGTTATAATCTCTTTGGAAAAGCTCCACATAGAGAGCACAGACTTCTGTCACTGTGTGAAAATAAAAGTCTTAACAGTTGTTTCCCTGAAATCAATCACTGCCACATCAATCTTTGAACATTTTTTTTCTTTTCATTTCTTATAATTACCCCTTCTCAGCCGCAGCTCCTCCGTCTCCTTTTTCAGCCTGTCGATCTCAGCCAGGAGGTCCTGGTTTTTAGCTTCCGACTCCTGCAGTTTGCTGATGGACAGGTGATGATACACATTATACTCTGAAGTGGATTGGCAGCAGTCATCAGTAAAAATGGCAAAAAAAAGTTTGGTATCCGTACCATTCAGTGGAAATGTTATCCGCCTTGATCTTGTTCAGCTCTTCCTGGATGCCTTGCTTGGCTCTAATCTCGGCATCCAGAGCCGATTGCAGCTCGAGACGTGCAGACATGTCCAGCTTGGCAAAACGCCGCATTTTCCAGGGCATGTCCTGCACAAATAAAGAAAATAAAGAAAAAATTTGAATAAAGAAAAGAGGAAAAGTAAGCACTTCAACTTTTAGCGTTAAATTGAATTACTTTGAAATAAAAGAGGGTGGTAGTTATATTACTTTTATCCTCATCAGGTCTGCTCACCAAACAGCTGATTTAATTTGACTGAAACCAGAGTTTTCTGTATATTTTACCGTGGCTCTGGCTCCCAGGCTGGTGTTCCGTAGTCCTTCCAGCTCCTCCGTCATCTTTGTGGCCAAAGCCTGCAGGTAACCGCGAGCATCCTTCTCGTCACTTACCCTGCAGGACACACATACACAGAAACACACTTTACCTTAGATGCAAACTCTAACATGATGTCACAAATTCTACTAATCACAGCTGTTAGAGAAAGACATTCTCCAGTGCTGATTGCCTGATGACCATTTTTTCATGCAAGTTGCTCTCAGTTTGCACGTTTAAGCTACTGGATAAATAAAAGTGAAGAAAAGAAAATGCAGAAATCATTGAGCCGTGTACACCCAGTGCAGGATTACCACCAGATGGCAACAGTGCACACTAAATTCCTTCTAATCTTACATTACCCATTCAACATTTGTATGTTCATGTTTGGAATGCGTTATGGCTGCAGCACTAAATGTGTGTTTCTGTGGCTGGGCGGCTGTGTTTTTATGTGTGTGGTATTTCTGCTATGTGAAGACTTCAGACCTGCCCAACAGAGGGAGGCCAAGCAGCTGGCGAGGTGTTTGCTTCCGAGGGAACTGATCTGAGAGGAAGGGAGGGTCAGGCAGCTCTGCCATCTTCAGAGGTATGCGAGAGACGCGGCAGCTTTATCGTGACGGGAAACTCAACACGCCAACAGAAACCGCGCCGGGTGAAAAAGTATAGGCCTCGGGCACAACTTTAGGCCACTTGAGAGGGTTTGGGCCAGCTCACGTGTGTGTGTTCAGTTTCTGAGAGTGAGCGTCTTACCACTGGATGATTTCTGTGATCTGGGCCTCCCAGTGGGCGACGCTCTCCTTTTTATCCGCCAGTTCCCTCATTTCGTCCTCCAGCTGCCGATTGGAGCTGGTAACTTTCTCAAACATGCTGGTCAGCTGAGGGAGCAGGAACACACATGCGAAAATCTGTCATCATCTTAATTGAGGCGGATTACAGCGTCCAGACACTTTTAACACATAACGTACAGCAGGCGTGCGTACTGAACGGTTTCATTTAAACCTAAAATTCTGAACTTGCCAAGACGTGACCATTGCAACACCACCACAGGTTTCAAACTGCCTCTTTGTTTGCTGAAATAGCTTATTTGGTGGGCACTTTTTTTAGGGTGTTTTGCTTCTTGTCAGGACTGAAGACACGAGCAAGCCGAGACAGTAATTTAATGTTGTTTCGCAACATCTGAGGGATTCCATCACAAACAAGGTCAAAAAAGCCCTGTCTTTTTTTTACAGATCACTATAAATCTTTCTCAAAACATGTTATTGTCCGGAAATGTTGTGTTTATTAATACAAAAACGCAGACGCCATAACTCAGTGTCATCTTAGAGCAGATTATGGAATTTTTTAATGCTCGGACATTATGAAAGAGCTGCACTTAAAGGTGGGATGTGCACCAAGGTGAGGCAATGAGCATCAAACCCCAGGAGAGCTCAGCAGGTCATGTAAGTAAGCTATCAAATGATACATCTCTTTTAGATAAACAATAAGCAAACAAAAAAAAAATTAAGTAAGAACCACTGAAGTATACACAAGTGGGATGTAATGCCATTTTGTCATCCAGGTTTTAAAGATGAGGTAATCTTGATCTGTGGAAGTTTTTATAGAATTCCTCTAGACCACCTGAGCTTTCAAGATGTTCAGAATGATCCTAAACTACCCCGCTGGTTCTTAGAAATGTTCATTTCCTCTCGCTGCTCTGCCGTTTGAGAATTATCGGGATGAGTCGGAGCCGAACAGAATCAGGACTTTCACATAACACTGATGCAACACCTTCCACGGAGATGTGGATGTTTTCACAGGTGCAGGTGTGTTTGCTGAAGCAATTCAATGTTACAATACTAGAGCTCTGAGACGAGGTAAAGACTGTTTAATTTCCCTGATTTACTGCTCTGTTGTTCAGTGTTGCGGTGATAGGAAAAAACCCAAACTTAAAAACACGGGGGCCTATTTCCTTAAAGCTAAAACTGTGTAAACACCTCACTTCGTGTCATTTTCCTCCCTCCACCCTACTGGATCAGAAAGCTCTGCAATTAGAGCACAAAAATTGAAATTCTTATTTTCGTCTTTTCTTTGACAGAGCAAAAATACTCATCACAGAGCTTGAAGCCTCAGCTTGGCTAGAAGTGCATGAGAGTCATGTATGAAGCCCAACAACAAAATTCCTTATAATTCATAATATCATGATGTTCTTTGGTAAAATAGACATGTTGAGTAAGTAGCTAAATCAGCAACAAGCAGAAAAAGTCGAGCAAAAAGTGGAGCTTTGCCTTGCAGCTGACAAAAACATGTCATCAAGATATAACTGAAAGAGCTTTAAAAAAAAATTTCCTCCTGATTTTTGCGAACTGAAACAAAAACAAAACTGCATCCAGATTGAAGATGGTGTGGTTTCACTTTGCTACAGAATAACTTGTTTTCTATGGAAAGTAAGACTTAAAAATATATTTTTAAAAAATAATTTCCAAAGTGAAATGAGAGCTAAACTAAAAGAACTAAATTGGAATTTAATGTAGACATTCTGCATTTTATCAGTCGCAGACTTTAAAACATCTCTCTCCGGTTTTATCCCATATGTCAGGCGGCCTCTCACTTATTAAAAGCCATTTAAATCGGAGGGCCTTTTTGAACTTCCAGAAGCCATTTCCAAAGTCAACAGAGAGGGATCCAGAGAGTTATTCCATCTGACTGCACAGCCGGCTACGAGCTGTTTTCATGGGGGATATTGAACAGTGATTTCTTTGGCAGTACTGAGAGAGAAGGGGGTGGAGAGAGGAATGTGATGAAGGCGATTGAGCCTTTCAAGAGAGGTTACCTCGGGTTACAGCGCTGCTTTTACTGAGTTTGTGTAAAAGCAACAAGTCACCAAAAAGCGAGAGAGAGAGAGCACGACAGAAAATTTTTAAAGGAATACAGGCTGACTTGTTTTGGACATAAACTCATACTGTACCTTATCCAATTCACTGGACAGTTTCTTATTTTCCTCGGTCAGCAGAACTCTCTCCCTCTCATACTTCTGCTTGTACTCTGTCTCAAACTCTTCCCGCTCGTTTTGGCTGGAGGAAATACACACACACACACATTGTTAAACTTCTTACAACAAAATCCTTACTTTTGCTCTTGTGTTTTTATCAAAAACACAATCCCAATCCTAACCAGGTATTCTAAACACAGCGGTTTTACCACAAAATATTGTTCATGCAAACATATCCAGGACAGAACTGAGTGTTCATGAGCTCTGGAGGGTTTGTCCGTCTTTTTCCTTGTGTAAACCTAAATCAAAGTCTCAGAACTAAGTCCCAGTATTTTTTTTATCAAGTTCAAAACACATTAATGCAGACCGAATCTGATACAGTACTGGGTTTAAAATAAGTAAGAACCCAGTAGGCTGCAGGGTATAAAAACAGAATTCTAAAGCTTCCTGCCCACAGAAAAAAATAGATTTAAAAAAAATTTTTTTTAGTAAAAACATGGTTCTCAAAGTGGGATCTGGGGCCATCAAGTTGCAAAAGCTCTGCAGCTGCAAATAAATAATAATGAAAACCAAAGTTTTAAATGTGGTGCAATTTTCACAGTCACTTGGCTTAATCTTCATTTTACATCAGAAGTTCAAGCATGGGACCCACTGGGGTAAATAAAGTTACTGATCTTTGAGAATCACTCTGCCAACATGGCATGGAGAGTCATTTTCCAACTAGAGCATGATGTGGGTGTTTGAAGCAGTAGTATGATCCTGTGACCGTAAGTCAGGATTAAAGCTGCTTGGCTGTAAGCTTTGAAGGATCTTAAGTTTTTTGGGGGGGATAGGTAATGTGCCATTTTTTTGGAAAGCAGTAGATACAGGTCCGTTATTACTTAATAAGGAAACAATTGTTTATCATTTGATAGATAAGGTTTTTCATATCAGGACATGACCCAAAAGAGTAATAATATAAAATAATTTAACAAATATAGCCTAATTTGGATAACATCGTCTCATCATCTATGGAACCAAGCTAAACAAAAACAAAGAAGCAATGGGTTCCCCGAATACTGATCACACTAATATGAAAAGAGCTGGCTAATAGGAAGTCCGACTATAAATCACATGGTCACAGGGAAAGACCCAGGTAGCTTACACCCACGGAGTCCACTGTGAACTCTGAATACCACAGTATTCTACAGTCAGCAAAGCTTGGCAGAACATGGGTCATGAAACGGGGCAGAGGCTGCCTTTTAAAGCACAAAACCTATTTATGTAATGTTACAAATTAATCAGAATACCACTGCTTGCTTGTTTTTCTTTTTCTACATGTTTGAGTGTAATTGAATGAATAATTTTCATACTTAGAACTTTATTTTTCTGAAAACAGATTTCTGATGTAAACAAATCCCACTGCGTGTGCATCTTACGGATTTATATTCAAAGTTCTTTTAAGATTTTAGACAGTGTATCAGTATCAGAGAAATACCCCTTTTGTTTCAGTACTATCATGTTTTTCCAGTAGTTTGAGCATAAAGGTGTGATTACGTTAACAGCCAACCCGTCTCAATCAGAATTAAGTTTTGATCCGTGATGGAATCAGATTTTCCACTCGGTATGACTTGGATAAGGCTCTTCGTCTGAATATTTCCCATATAAACATGACTGCTGATCACAAACGCAGCAGCAAATCTATGATCAAATTTCAGAGGAAGAAAATTAATCAAAGTGGTGGAATAATCTGGTTCAACGGAAACTGTGGTGGACGGAACCTCTTTAACGGTGTAGTAACACCATACAGAAAATACGTAGGATGAAATGAGTCACGTGTCGCTGTTCATTTGAGGTTATTAAGCAAGTATTCTTGTCCTTAAATTATAAACAGTAAAATTGAAAAAGGGTAACTGGATCTCATGTAGAATAGAAGTGAATAAAATATGTTGGAATTCCTGGAAATGGAAATCGCTTGGATAAGAGGAAAAAACATCTAAGTGAGGGACAGCAAAGATTCTATATTTCTGAGGGGAAACTAGCTTAACAATAGGGACTAAACATGGCTACTTTTGTAGAGGATGGGGATTTTAAGCTATTTTTAAAGTTGTAGTATTACCTTATGGAATCACCACTGTAAAAAATAAAAAAAAACAACCAGGAAAAAAAATTGGATAGCTGTTCAGATATGCAAAAATATTATATCTGCAATATATAAAGAACATGAGTCGAAAGAAAAAACTCAACAGATGTATGACTGAATAGCTACCTCTCCCGGCGTGTCTTGTCCAGCTTGTCTTTGAGCATCAGGATCTCCTTCTGCAGGGTGAGCTGCTGGCTCTCGGCGTCTCTCAGCTCTTTGCGCAGGGCCTTCAACTCTGTGCTGTGCTGCGCCTCTCTGCGCGTCAGCTCTTCCTCGTACAGGAGTGTTTTCTTCTCCATTTCTCCACGCAAGCGCCCCACCTCCTGGGTCTGGTCCGCCAAAGCAGGAGCGGCGGGGGAGCCGACCTGCTTCGACTGGGCGATGGGGAGAGAAGGGGACATCTTTAAACTGGTTGTCAGAGGATGGGATTAGAACATGGGTTGGGGTTCCCGTGCGGCTTTGAGCACTCACCTTAAGCCCTTCGAGCTCTTCCTCCAGCTGTCTGCTGTATTGCTCATTACGCTCTCGCAGCTTCTTCTCTTTCTGAGCTTCTGCCACATGCTCTTCTGCCTGCACCTCCATCTGATGACAGAGAGACATGCTCCAGTGACTGGTTCCAAGAAAATATAGTTTGTTTTTCTCCATGTACATGTTATATGGGTAGGGACGACTGGTATAATCGAGCAAAACCTTTAATGAAAATACAAAAACTATCTCTGAATCTGTCAAAATGGGCTAACTATCTGCAGCCTACGACAGTTTCATTAGACCGTGCATTGACAAGTGACTGAGAACTTTCATTTGCGGCTCATATAGGTGAAGTGGATGCCTAGCATAGCCAAAAAGTCCATATTCTGTTTCCCGGGCTTTCTATTGAATGGGACTTCTTTCAAAAATCCCCTTGACTTAAATGAAAGGGTGATATACCTTTTTGAATCCCAGAAAAATGGCTGTGCTGAGTTTCTCTTGAACTAAGGTAACCCATAACTTTTTATGTCTCAAAAAACAAAATAAATGTTTCAATCCTTGTTTGTGATACTTTCAATGTCCACATGTAATCAAAATGGCTCCTTCAGGTTTTTTCACTAGCCCAACCTGCATATAACAGCCGTCACTGCATATAACATTGTACAAAAAACAGTTTAAACATGCAAACTATATACATGTATAAATACCATTGTCAAATATGTTGCAAAACAAATAAAATTGTTTCATTTGACTTTATTCGACCGCCTAAACAAATTTCTATGTAATGACATCCAAAATATCATTCTGAATAATTGAAGTTAGTGAAATAAAGTCAATGCAACATTATTTCTGATTAAGTGAGATGCAGGAAGGGAGCACAGGTAGATTGTGAACCAACCAGTGGATGGAGGAAGAAAGGGAAGTTCTATCAACCACAGGGAGTCTACTCTACCTCCTTCTTGGCCCTCTCAGCCTTTCGCACCTCAAGGCGGAGAGCCTCCACCTTCTGACTCTGGCTCTCCATCTCCTCCTCTTTGTCACGCAGCTGGCGAGAGAGGCGTTGTTTTGCAGACCTGTGCAGACAATTCAGAGGGACTGAGAATGGAAATGGGCGGTGTTGTATTTGTGGGTTTGGGGTCAATATCACCCACTGTTTGGCCTCGAGATGATTTTGTGCTTAGTAACATGAGTAACATGAACACATACAGACGTTTGGTTGGCAAAGAGTTGTCAAAACACCAACGCACCCAAAAAAACAATTGACTAAACTACGGTGGATTCTACCTGAGGTCTGTGAGCCTCTCGTTGAGTTCGGAAAACTCCTGCATGGCTAGTTTCCTCTGGCTGTGGGCGTCCTTCAGCTCTTTTGACTGAGACTTTAGCTTCTCACTGGCATCCGAAAGGTCCTAGACAGGAAAGAGACAGAGTAAATTAATCACTTGAGATCCATTCTAACACGTTAAAAAGTCAAGCTCCCTCATGAAAAAGCAGGTTCCTCACTCAGTAAACGAATCTGTGCTAATGCTTATTAGCCTTCTCTACAAAGCAATGGCCCACTCTAATGTTGTTTTCATTTAACATCCAACATTTGACTGTGCTCAATGATGCTCAGTTAAACAAACTGATAGTTTGAGAAGCTAATCTAAATCTAAAAAAACTAATCTTTTTGCAAATTACCAGAAAAGACAAATATGCTCATGGATGAATCATATCAGAAATGAGTTCCTTTTACGAAGCTTTGGAAAATTCAGGAGCTAGCACCAGGATTTGGGCTAGCTCAGAGCTGTGGGATAATCAAGCACTGCCAGAGGCCATCAAGTCCATTGTTTTAGCAGCTTACAGCAAAGAGGCAAATCGAGACAACACAGAGCTCGTCTGGGCTGCACGCTGACCAGAAGCTGGCCTGCAGGAGAAGCCGCTACCTCATGAGCTTCTGGATGAACCCAGCAAGCTTGTGAGCTTCCAGTTGACTTTCAGCACCTTGGTTTTACTGCTTGGCTGTCTGACGCGTTAGCAGTCTGACCAAATGTGACCCGGCATTCCTTAGCTCGTGGCTTACGCACTTAGCTTTCATCAGGGAGAAATCTTTTCTCCCCCTTTTATAGCTCTGTAAGTAGTGTTTTCAGCAAACCTCAACATACCAAACTCAAAACATGAACAACATGAAAATTAGCTGTAGAGCAGACAAACACTCAGAATGATTCCCCCCAACAGTCTTCACAGCACAGATGAGGGCTGACTTCTTGTCTCTAACCCCAGTATAGATTTAAACGTATGATTTTTCTTTTATATCGTATGAAACATAGGTTCTTGACTTTACAAAATGAGGACTTCAATTTATTTTTTTCCCATTTAATCAAATACAACAAAAAACATAATCTATTTCTTTGGAGAAATCCTAAATGTTTTGTAGCATTTCTATTCACTCCACAGGTGTCCAAATGAACTATTCTTTCACAGGTACTTTTTTCTCAGTTTTATACCTGCCACTATAACAAGTAAAAAAATGAGGAAAATTAAATATCGGTCAGCGGCTATACCTTCTGTAGGTCGTCCCTCTCCTGCATAATGCCCTTCATCTGTTTCTCCATATTCTTGATCTGTTTGGATGAATCCTCCAAGTCCCTACGAGCCGACGTCACGTCCTCCAGCTGCTTCTCCAGCTGGCCCGAATCTGACACACAATTATCCACACTGAGTTACAGATTTCTGAGAAAATACTGAACGCGTGGGTGTAACCTGAAAAACAGGTGTGTTTTTACTCTTCTGTATTCTGATATGAGAAATGTTTTAATCCTAACCAGCGATTTGCTTCTTTAGAATGTCGATCTCGCTCTTCAGGCTCCGGATCTCCACCTCCCTGTTGGCACCGGGGGGCCCCTCACCTGTTGGGTGCTGCAGCGCCTGCACCGTCTGAGTGGACTCTGAAACAGTAAAAGATTTGTGTTTTCCTTTTTAGTTCTTCTTGTGAAATGTTTAATTGAACAGCATTATCGATATAGATGTCTGCTTTGAGCAGACTAGAACATTTTGACTAATATCTCCCCTTAGTTTAAGTTGTGTCCATGCATATGTTTGCTCATGAATTTAGCAGACACTTTTATCCAAAAGGACTTATAATACAGATACAACATTACAGTTAGCGTTACGGATGTCGTTTCCCCAACCGAACCTTGAAGTTTGCGGCTCAGCTCTGTTTTCTCCTGCTCCAGACGGCGTATTCTCCTCTCATAGGCCTCAGTGGCAAGGCTGTCCTCCAGGCTGCGCTGGACATCAAGGTCCAGTTGGTCCTGCCCAACCTTACCCGGCTGCACCACCAGTTGTCGCAGGCAACCTCGGTCTGATAGTGTGCTGGTCGGGAAATGAAAAAGCCATTAAAAACCATGGAAATGTGAAAGGATTGGAAGGATAGTTGGGGGTTTTTCAAGGTAAATATGGCAAAAATGGTGTTTAACATTTTAAGACAAAAAAGGACCAACGGGAAATGGCAGCGATAAAGAAGGATAGGAAAAAGGAAAAAGAAGTGAGTCAAAGAGAAAAAATAATTAAAAGACAAGAGGGAGATGAAAGTTTGAGATGAAGAGAAAAATGCAGACAGAGAAAGAAAGAAAGAAAGAAAGAAAGAAAGAAAGAAAGAAAGAAAGA